CAAACCCAGAATGGGTTTGACAGAAGACCATCCTTCTGGTATCATCTCACTGATGGGCATCTGCAAACTAAAGCCTGTTTACACAACTCCAGGCCATAACAATGAGACACAGGGCACTGGCACTCCCACACCTTAAAGAGTAACAGGAATTCTCTTTTTTAGTGAAGTACCTACTAATAACGATGATTTATAGTTTTAGGACACATCAGAGGAACAAAATAAATGGAAAGAAGAGTTAACAGCTTGAAGGGGCTTTAAATCAGGTCTCAAAGATGAACATTAGTTAGATAAATAAACAAAAATTTCTTGTCAGTTACAATGGATGAAATAGGATTATAACATACAAGGGCAGCTTAAGGGAAATTCAGACAGAACCTCTTCACACTACACAACATGTCACATCTTTTACAACAAATGCTATTTAATCCAAGAGACACAATAGGAGTTAATAGCAGCAAGGTCAAGGGGTTGGTGATTTTTAGGTCAAAAGGACAGGTGATTACCTCCTCCATTCTCAAGGATTAACACAAATCACAAATCCAGCAATTTCAACACCAAATCTAGAACTTGTACCTGGTACAGTTAAAAGAAAAGAAAATACTGATCTACAGACTTCAAGCAGAAAGGCATCATCTGCTCAGTAAGGTGGTTCATACACTTGCTACTCTGATGGACAAAATACTGATACCTCATTTCTAGTCTGGGCTCCTCTAGAGCTTGTATGCTCAGCCATTCTATGTATCAGGGAACAACTTAATACTGGTATTTTCACTATGTGGGGATCAAGGAGCCTTTCAACATACCCAGAGAGAATGGTAAGCTTTTAGGAGTCCTATGAGGAAACAGACTAGACAGACACATTCTCAATTGAAACAACTCAAGTCCCTTCTCTAAACTAATTCTAGTCATCCAGCATCCTTGCTGAGTTAGGAACCTTTCCTACTCTCAACACTCCAGTCAGTTTTACAGCTGCATACAACTTCTTTTCTCTTTAAAATACGAGCAGATCATGTTACCTGGCTGTAATCCCAAATCCTTCTCAGAATCAGTATTTAGGGGGGGGACTCACATTTTTTTTACAAAAGTAGCCAAAAGTATTACAGTGCACTTTGTTAAAGCACATTCAGATGCAGAATGAGAAACCAAATGAAATCAGTCTATAATAGCACTTTTTCCAACTTTATTAAAATTGGCAAAAAAACCCAGAAGTATTCTCATGAATATGGATTTTGTATTTTATTCCAGATCATTGTCAAAGGTAATGAAAAGAGTTGGAATAATGGAGATGGCAATTCCCCATACACTATCTGTTCTTCAATTTATTACATGAGAAAAAAAAAAATCTGTTCACATGGACAATAGTTCTGCTCTGCAGTATTATTTTTACAACTAGAACATCACCCTGAACTAAATAAAACGCCTTACTGAATTCAGACCACAAAGCTTACAATTTCAAAAAGAAACACAGAGTCCTTTCCTGAATCAAAAAAAAAGTTTCAAAACTCTTGATTGGGATGTATTACACTATCATTCTTTAACCCTTAACTATTTGCCAGCATATTGTGTCCTCTATCAACACATCATACTAAATATACTAATAATAACCACATTAATAATAATAAAATTAATAATCATAATAATATTAATATGAAATATACTAAGTTTTCCTCATCACTTTATCCTTTAAAAAATTTAAAAATACAACCCTCCCACTCTCTATCTGTATCATCACATATTTTAAGAATTCCTCCCAACTCTAATACTTTATCCTGGAAACAAATGTTTATAAAGAAATGCTGTCCATAGCTTTGCGAAAGAAGTAGAAACAAAAAACAACCAACCAACCACAAGAAAACCCACACCAACCAAATAAACAAAAAAAACAACACCAAAACCAAAAAAAAATCCTACATGCTACTAGTAGTCATTAAGTTTTCCAAATAAGAGATCTAGTGTTTGTCTATGCACAGACATATTTTCTAGGAAAAGCATGACTGTTACTCTGAACCAGATAAGCCATTTGTCAAGGAATCTTTATTTCCACACTGCTTTGCACAAAAGCACTTCACTTATTTTTAACTGCACTATCTACATAGTTATTTAAACACATGGACATGAGAGTTCATGGGTAAACTCGTGTCTCTGAGCCAAGCTGAGGAATGGTTACCAGCTTTCCCATTTTGCAACTGCTACAATGGTTTTTCAGTCACATGATTACAGAAAAACAGTACCCTTAAGATAAAGGCACAAAACAGAACTTGTAAGTGGATTTTTAATCAATTCATTAAAACATCACTGAGCAGCTTTGAGGCACTGTACTACCTAGTCACTATAGCCATGACTACATAATTAAAGCCACTACAATACATTTGGCCATAAATCCTGAATAGTCCAGGAAACTTACAGACAGTATCCTTAAAAGAACCAAATTGGATTTAGCCACTTCTAAATAAAATTTTATTTTCCTGAAATTTTTATATAACTATAGTAATTTAGAGATGATTAATTATTTAGATAATTTCTCGTGACTGCTTTAAAATTTTATAATCTTCTTCATTTAAAAAGATAAATACGAGAAGCTTATCAGATAACTACACTGCACAGGAGACATTCCAGATTTCTTTAATGTTCTGATAGATTTCCCTGTGCCTATTTAGGGATGTCTAGAAAAGAGAAGTGGCATCCCGAGTTTGCAATTCTCTGAGAATTTAAAAGATGGCAACACCACTCCCTCTAGTATGGAGAGGGAGAAGTGTTCAGTGCCTGCTCTTCCAGGGAAATACCTCCAGACTGACAATGATAAGTAAACAGGTTAAGAAAAATGGTCAGCTCTCTCATAAGCCATTCATGTGCTCCTCCTTTAGCTACTTGGGGAAAACAACAGAAGGGAAAAGCCAGCCTCTAAAACATACTGATTAGACATTTGTCAAAAGCAGTACGTAAGGAGATGATTTTCTTACAGTTCCTATCCAGCTTTCAGTTATTACAGGACTCAAAGAAAAAAAATGTATTAGCAAATATTTTTACTTCTTTTTTTATTTAAACAAGAAAAAAATTTCCACATGCTGCTGCAGAAATTGCTCAGCTAATCATCTAGTCCCTGGAAGAGATTGCCTGTAGCCTGCTCTTAGTGTATCACCAGAAGGAATCATGAACAACTCTTGTCAGTTGTCCTCCTCCTAACACATTCTACTTTGGCGTCTGCTATTTTTGTAAACGATGTAACAGTACAACCATTTCCTAATCCTCCTTTTACTGGGGTGTATGAGGGAGGAGTAAAGCCTACTCTAGGAAAGGTATCATTTGTATGTAACGATCCTGAAAATATTTGTTAACCTAATGCTTTGTTTACTTAGTCTGGCAAATGCTTTTATTTTAACCTTGAGTATCTTTAGTAAATGTCAGCTGTAAACACATATTGATAGTTTTCTCCCTTATCTGTATTTCTAATTAAGTTTTTTCCTAGCTACAGAGTTACATCTAAAACAAACATTCTGTAGAGAATCAAAGTAAAACCAAAAGATGAAGTATTTCTTTGTGAAACTGCATATTTATATAGGCATCACCAGCAGAGGGAAGGAGACCATGGTATCCGTGCGTAATAATTCCTCCATGATTTTCTTCCAGATATGAAGAAATATCTTCCTGTCCTTTTCATTTGTATCACAAACTTTAATGTCTCTTCCAAAGCATGTAATAGGAGGTTGTGTGCACCCTTTATTCAAAAAGCAGTTCCCAGTAAAGAATTTATCTTTGTGCTTAAATATGCACGCAAATATAAAACTCCGTACAAATATTTTTTAAATTGTAAGCAGACTGCTGAATGGACAGGAAAAGAAAACGATATGCTAAATAAGAGCTTCATTTTCATATGAGGAAACATCAATTAACTGAGTTCTGTACAGCTGACTGGCTTAAAAACTTCTGCCAAGACACTAAGCTGCTCCTTCTTTTTACTTATTACAGCCAAGCCTGCCAAAAGACCATAAAAATTGATTTCATGTTTCCGGTGTCTCTATGCTAGCTGGAAGAATATAGATTTTTTTTTTTTTCCCCCCTAGGTTTCTGACAAACAGAACCTTCCCCTATCTCACACCTTCGCTACTGTAACCAACACTGAGCATCTTCTTGGTCAACTCTTACATCTGATTTAAGTTATGACTAAGGTAGGAGAACGTTTCAGATTGTTAAATCACTGTTCTACATCTATGGTTTTAAAGGGTTTCTTGCCCATCAGTGTTACACAGGAGGGTATATCCCACTTGTACTGCTAAGGCATATGTGGTAACTGACTATTTTTCATATTTGTTTTAAGGAAGTATTAGAACTGCTCTGTTAGTCTGTGAGCTACCTCTTTAAATTCCAGCATCAATCCTTAAAATTGATTTAGCATCTTTCGCATCAAACATTAATAAGGCTCACTTAGGCGCTCTTAATGTGAAGGAAAATTTGGCTTGTATGAAATGGCTACACTGGAACATTTCATGCTTTTGCAAGTGCAGGAGTATGATTATTTCCTACAGTATGTCATTATCTTATGCCCTGTGGTTCTTTTTGAAATTATCTCTTCTCAAGCTGCCTACACTATGTTTTTAAGCTATACAGTTTCAATTTATGAATTGTGTGCATGCAAATTTTGAGCAACTATACCACAAGCCAAGTAATAGAACACATTAAAATATATTTCCCTCAGACACTACTAATAGAACTAAAAACCCAAAAAGCCTGGAACGAAAAAAGATAAATATCTGACTCAAGACATAAAATCAGGTCATTTGTTTCCAAGACAGACAAGAAAATACTATTCTAGATACATGTGCAATCTCCTTACACTTTCCCTGAGCAGGTTTATTTAAGCATGGCAGGAGATGTCATTTCACATCCTCACAAAGCAAATTAGTTCACTGCCTACTTGTCCTTGTACCCAAAAGCTCCCCCCTCCCTTTTTTAGGGACACTCCTAAAAGAACTGCCCATCTGTAACTCTAGATGTCAATTCACCAGAGAAAGGAAACTCCCCTTGGGGTCTACAAGTACCGTCTTCCCCTTCTTAGGATGGTAACTCTCTCGGACAATAAAGCAATTTAAACAGCGCGTAACAGATTAACATGCAACATGGATGGCACGCTGCACAGCAGCTCTGAGGATCAATATCACCTCTGCAGATTAGTAATCTACTTGTCGTCTACAACATGTCTGCGTATCTAAAACTACTCTACTGACCTTTGTACAGAAAATATTGCTTCAGAGACAGTGAAACATTATTGCACTACAGCATTTTGCATTGAGTTTACAAGGTAATAAAGACAGAGCTACTTCTTCACACGCAAATGGCTATTAAATAAGGAAAATAAAACTTGACATCCCCCAGACAATCAAAAGAAATGATTTATTTGGATGCCAACATCTGTCTTGATATTGCGGCCAAGTGCTTTTCTGTGCTCATTTAGGACTGTACTTGGAAAGCTTTCCAGTTACATCTACCTAGAGATTTCTCTCTACCGCTTCCCATCTGACAGAAATCACTCAGCTGGGTCTGATGAATAATAGCAAAAGGCAGCTTTTATCAGAGATGACTGAATTACAGATTGTTGAAAGTGCCATAAAGGCTCATTCCAATGACTACATTTAATTTATTTACTATACTGCCTACCAGAAGCTAGTAGTCGTTTGATATCTTTATTTCAGAAGGCTGGAAACAAAAGAAATATTAACATTCTTTGTTACTTTCTTACTACTGTACCTAGTAGAGTTCGATAAGCAAAATTAACTTTTAAACAGAGCGCTGATCCCCTACCCGTACCGTGTGCGCCTAGGAACCAGAAGAGAAGGTACCCAAACCAAAGCAGGGAAAGTGGTACTCGGTATGAAGGAAACAATGTCAGAGATGAAATTGCATGGAAAGAAAACACATTAACCTGACAGCCTTTCTAAGTAATGTGGGAAAGGCTTTTGTGAATTGGTACATAAACGATTAGCTGTTGTCCTGCGGTCCAGAAGCCCAGAGCCGGGGGGAGGCACAGCGCCGCGCCCCACCGCCCTCCGCCGGGGCGACCGTCGGAACAGACCACGCTGCCGAGGGCGGAGGCACGGCGGTGGCAGCGGCCAGGTGACACCCGGAGGAACAAGTTGGCCCGGCGGCCGCCTCGGCGCCGGCTCCGGGCAGCGGCGGGGAGAGATGGAGCGATGGAGAGCGGACGGCTCCCCTCTTCTGCAGCCGGGGCGGGGGGCGACGGCGGAGCTCCGCGGGGGCGGGGAGCAAGGAGGGCGGGGGGGTGTGGGGGGGGGCGCGGGCGTCCCCTTTGTCTGTGTCGCCCCTCCCGTAACGCCCCCACCCCCGCCGGGAGCGCCCCTGGGGCAGGCCCCCGCCCCCCGGCAGCGCGGGCAGAGCCGGCGGGCGGGCGGCGTTACAGCCGCCCCCGGAGCGTGTGCGCTGCCCCCGCCCGCGCAGCGGGCATTCCCCCCGCCCGCGGCGACACCGCCCGGGCGCGGCTGCGGACGGCCCCGGAGCGCTGCCTTACCTGGCAACCGGGGCGGGCGCAGCCGGCTCCGTCCTTCAGCCTCTCCCCACGGCGGCAGCTCCCGGGGCGAGGCTGCGGTGCGCGGCGGGGCGCGGGCGGACCGCCCCCGGCACGGCAGGCAGGCTGCCCCAGCCCCCTGCGCTCGGCGGGCAGGCGGCGCGCCGGGCGTTAAGTTTCAGCGGCGGTGGCGGCCGCCGGCGGGCAGGGCGAGGCGAGGCGAGGCGAGGCGAGGCAGGCGGGGCGGCGGAGGCGGCACGGGGGCTGCGCGGCGCCGGGAGCGCCGCCACACTGCAGCGTCTCCAGGAATCCCTCACGCGAGAGGCAGCCCATCACCCCCGGCCCGCCGCCCTCATTGGCTGCGGGGCGGGGAGGCGCGCTCCCGCGGCCAATCGCCCGGCGCCCACCGAGGGTGGAGCCGCCGCGCCGGCCGCGCCCATCCCGCGGCCGCGGGTCCCCGGCCGCCCCGTCGGGCGGGGCCGGGCGGAGGCGCGCGGGGGGCGAGGATGAGGATGGGGAGGATGCGGAGGATAAGGGGGGGTATCCCCGCGCGCGGCGGGCAAGGCTGGCATCTCCGGGCCGCCGCGGGGCTGCCGCTGGGCGGCACGAGGCGCTGTGCCACAAGCCCGACGGGCGTCGGGCGAGCCGGGTGCCCCGGGCGAGGCGCGGCGGTGGCCCTCGGCCGGAGGTCGCGGCGCCCCGGCGAGCCCCGGCAGGCGTAGGCGGTACTGTTAGCGAGCCTGCGGTGCGCAGCCCTCCCGCTGCCGCCGCTCCGGGCAGCCCGCGCCGGGCAGTCGCGACCGGGCAGCGAGTCGCAATTGGCGTCTGTGGCTTAGGCGAGAGCAGAGCGTATCGCGTGTGCAGGTAAGGACGTGCAAGGGTTAAGCTAATTCCCTTGATCCATCCACTCTGAACTGGAGCTTTGATTAACATTGGTCTGCAAAATGTAACTGTAACAAATTCAATTAAGGGAAGCACATTTCTTCAACTTTTAATTAGATCTACCCTATTTGTCTAATGTTTAATATAACATAAAAAGTTGCTCGGGCTCCAGAGGGAAATGGAAATAGATTTAGATGTAAGCTTAGCTTTTAAAAGCACAACAGACTAAAGTTCTTTGTTCCTCAGCATATATTACTGCTGCATTTATACCCTCAAAGAGGATAAAAGCAATATTTCTCAAAGAGGAGGAAAACATTTTACCTGTAGAATTGTAAACATAACAGGGTGGTATTTATGTGAGTGTTTCCCATAACCTTTAATTGGTTACAGGGTACTGAACATACAGGTTGTAGCCCAGGTTTGATGTACTACTGTACACGATCCTGCTGGATTACAGTTGTTTTAAGAAAACTTGAGAAAGTAGTAATGTATTTCCCAGCCATTTAGCTGGTTTCAGTTAGTACACGAGAATGAAATTTATCTGAAGTACATCTTAATATAGATAGCAGATGCTGGCAAAGAGGCGAGCCCGTATGCCATCCTCAGCAGGTAACTGAGAAAGTCACACAGCCCCCAGGCACTTCGCGTAGGTGACTTATTGTGCCTTCTACAGAACTGTATTCTGCCATTCCCCATCCATACTTCCATGCTGGGATTTGACTCTGAAATTCACAGCCCTTTTCCATTTTTTCTGATCACATTTGTTCTTAGGTCTGTTAGTCAGAATATCAGTTTTTCTTGTACGGGCACATTAGATCATGACAGGAGAGAAGGAAAGCAAATGTAAAAGAAATTAAGTTGTAAAGCTTTTACTGAGCTATGTAAAGGAAGAACAACCATAATTTAAACTGCATATGCAGAAGTGTCACTTCTGCTCAAACTGCCCTGTATTATTTCAAAGGGTTGCTGTTTGCTCTCTCCCAATACAATAGATATCAAGGATTATTTTCTCTAGGATCATTTATCTGATCAGTTAAAAAACCCACACATTTCAGTGCTAGTAATTATGAGGACTTGATGCTGAGTTCCTAACAGCCACACAGCCAGAAGTCTGTGGGAGTCTGACATTCACAAGGCATGACACATCATATGCTGTCTTAGTATTTGAGCAAAGACAAGAAACATCACTGAAGCCCAATGGCCCTTCCTTAGTGTTCAGACAGTAAGGATCAGAAATGCTATCTAGCAGTAGCCCTGAAGAGTATACCATCACTTTTGCACTCTCTGACCGTGGTAGTCCATACATAATTGTTCTGCTATGTTAAAAAACCAACCAAACAAACAAAAAAAAACCTCAAACCAGCTGTTGTTGGGGCTGGGAGAGTTTTTGCCTATTATTTTCTGAGCTTGGTTGTTTGCAATGAAAGAATTGCTGCAAAAGTTGCTTCCTTCAGTTTCTTTAAAATTCAAAGGTTTATTCATACAGAAAGAGGTTTTCAGTCCTGCAATTTTTATTTCACTACTCCATTTTCGAGGAAATGGATAGTTACTATCCAGTCATTATGCTAATTATACCAAAGGAAGCTGTGAATCTTGAGGAATGACATACAGATCCTGAATGGACAACAATGCTCTAGAAGACCTCAGGAGCCATTTGGTGAATGCTTGAAGTGCTAGCCAAATGCTAGCCTCTAAAATCATGAAACATAGATTACTGTATTTATTATTGTTAACTCTTTCACAGTTGTGTTTAGGGAAGAATAAGGTATTCTATTATGAGAAAAAAGAAGAAACGTGCAAATCCAGAGGAAATTATATTCTAAACCCTATTGTGTTGTTTTGTTTAGCATTTTAATTTTTTTTTTTAATATCTTCTAGTGCATCAGAAGAGAATTTTAAAGAGTCAGCCATTCAGAAGTTCCATCAGGAATCCTACTACATACAAATGAAGAACTAGACTCCATTATATTCTTCATATGTTGTGTTTTTATTTCAGACTTTGACTAAGCCAAAGGTACAGGAGCATCAGGAAAAATTTTAAATAAAAAGCAAGACCAGATACGATTCTGTGTTTGTCATTTTTATTTTTTTACTTTCTGTACATTGTGACCTCAAGATACAACCTCAAGATTAGAAAGCAATATGAGCCATAAAATCTAGATTTTGAAAATGAAAGACTCCTGCTTGATCCATAAAGAAGGAGGAAGCCTGGGCCAAAGCAAATGAAGCCAATATTCTCGGGCCTATCCTGGCAAGTTTTATGACATATAAAGAGCAGATAATAGAATGTCAGTCACTGAACTGAGGCTAATTCAGTAGCAACAGCAGTTAACATAAAAAAAAGCAATCAGAGCTCTGACTTTTTTTCCTTTTGTGGGTCACCCTTTGTGTGACCAAGTATCACAACTGTCAGAAATAGATGTACAAGATGGGAAGTCAGGTAAATAATGAGAGCAAATCACTGGCAGGTAAATAAGTAAATAGAACTGGTGGCATGTTAATTTACTTAGCAAGAAGATCTGTAAACTAACTGAACTGTGACTGTTGTGATTCACTGCCTTTGTGTTGCACAAGGTTACAGAGAAAAAGTGCTTTTATTTTGTCCTTCATTATCATGTAATTTACTCCTATTTGTGCTTTGATTTGGTCTTTTCCATCGTCAAGTTTTTAATTTTTAGAGATGTTCCTTTGTGGGAAGATAAAGGAATTGGGTTTTGCTTAGGGAAATGGAACAGCTTTTCA